GATCACTTTGCAGAATCAGATGTGCACTTTCTCCATGAACTTGTTCTGAATCTTTAAGTAAACTCCTCAAATGGTCAAAATACTTGTTGCATGATCAATGTATTCTCCTTTCCAGACAGTTAAGGTTCCTGGAGACCACATCTGCCTTATTGCAAAAAGATGCACTCGTGTTCTCATCGGATACTGTACCTTCCCCCAGGGGAGTTCAGGAATGAGAAGTTTCTAAGACCCTGAGACTGCAGCAGGCCCTAAAGTCTGGGCTGGCAAGGAGGTGGGGGAGATGTTTACTTTAAAGCATAAAGCACATACCTTGATGGTTGACCTGCCGTTTCATCCACCACTCTCTGGCTTTGCCCTCTAGACACCTAAGGGAAAGACAGCTTCTAAAAGTCCCAGATTGCACATCACTGCCTCTGACCCAAGTGGTCATGCATCTTGTACCTATTATGCATGGACAACATAGCCCCGGGGGGGTCTAGCACACACCACTGAGAAAGAGAAACTGTCATGCTGTTTGATTGCTTCTTTTTCAAAAGGCGGGATCCTTCTGACAGCATGGCCCATATTCCCAGCAAGAGTCCTCTTCCTACAGCTGGTTCCCAAAGTCAGCCCTAACCACCAGGCAGCAGAAACTGAGTCTGTTACTTTAGAACCAGTGAGTGACCTCCACAGGGACATCCCGGGTAGCGGATGGGGCAACAGCTGCTTTGCCCATTAAGATATCCTGTTCTCAGCCTTTGCTTTTTTCCCCCCAGCAATCTGACTGCCGAGCTGGTCTGTGTGCAGAGGTCGAAGCCACCTCCTTTGCAGTTTCCCCATGACTCAGTACAAGGCAGTACTTATAGGGGCTGAGCAGTGGTGGCTCGACAGACCTTAGTTGGAAGAATGAGCGCAAGGAAACAAGACTCAGGCCAAAGACCTCCCTAGAGAAACCAGGTGGCGGGAGGAGAAGAAGGCTGGGAAAGGAGGAAGTCCAACTCCGGGAAGGGACTAGCTGTGCCAAATGGGTTACCGAGGAAGACTCCAGCTCCAGCGCTACTGCGCCAGTCCAGCTTTGAGTGGCCATTTGGAAACAGTGGAGAGTTAGCGCCCTAGAGGTAATCAAGGATTCTGTGCTGTCCCCAGAACGCTGTGGTTGTGAGGACAAAACAAGAGCATGGCACACATTCAAGTCACAGCAGGAAGCAGGTCACTTGGATGACCCTTTTCCTCCCAGTCTCCTGTATCTGAGAAATTTCAAGAATCCAAAAACTTCATAGTACCCAATCACTCCAACACTTGTGAATCCCAATGTCCACAGAATCATAGCTTAATTGAGATAGAATATCAGATAAAAACCTGCAAAAGGCAGAGCGGTTTTTGGCTTGGGTCCAT